ATTGTTTTTATTTATCTCTTGCCTCAGATAAACAATTATGAATGACTCTTTGTTTAAAATATGGAAATTACTTTCGCATCTAGATCATTGTTTTGGAGCTTCAAAAGACCAATTTATACAAATTATTTTTCTTGAAAAGTCAGCTACAGTCGAGTAGATTTTCCGCTTAATATAGTGTGCTTGCACAGGAGGTGAAATGCGCTAAAATTTGCGCGTGAGGAATTACTAGCTTTGACTGTGACGCCGGTCAATTGCGCGCGCAAAATCTCGGCAGTGCTGGCGCAGTTACCTGTTCAGGCGCAAATTTTACTGCATTTCATAAACTGTGCAAGCACACTATATTAAGCGGAAAATCTACTCGACTGTATATATTAGTCAGTTAGTCTCATATTCGCCAGATTGTGGTAAAGTGGAAAATTTTACTTTTTCTGTTTCCCGGCCAGTAGAAGGATTGTATTCAGCAATATTTTTACTATACATGTCGAAACTATATCACGTTGCCCGTGTTGATATATGTATGAATAATCTTCAAAAAACATGATTCTCAGCGAGAAAACATCAAATAATGCACTTTTTTGCTAATGATTTACGACGGCAAAGTCCAAAAACTCCATAGAATCCTGTCCAATCAAATATTGTAAGAAAAGCTAATGGAACACATATTAAATCACATCACATTGAGAAGAAAATGCACATGCTTAGGTTTGTCGAAGCAGCAATTCCTCTTCGACACTCAGTTTTGTAAAAATTTGAGAAAATATTTGTATATAATTCAAGCCACTGGCATCGAAACCTCGTTATTGCAGTTGTAAAACTGTCATAGTTACGCATATATATAGCTTCTATACCTTCTATCTATCAAACCTGCCTCACCACTTTAACCATAGATGCAGAAAATTCCCACTTTGTAATAGCTTGAATGTTATTGATAACTGAGACGAACCAGAAATCCCCGCAGTTTGTGCACGTTAAGATGTGAGAAACTTTTTGACTTTAAGCGACCAAAGTTTACTGTAATTGCAAGAGATAAATGTAAGTTGCTTCTTTTTGGTCTTTTATCAAACGGACTTGATCGTATTCAGCGCGAAAAATGGCGCTTTTGAGGATAAGTAAGAAGTAGCTGCGCGACTGATTTTTGCAGAGGTACTTAATCATCTCTTCTGAGGAAATATTCAGATGAAGGCCTTTTTTTTCCTAACTATTCGTATAACTGAATTGATGGACTTTCTCGAATATTCAACTACTCAAATATTGGAACAGTCAAATAACACAATGAATTTTTCAAATCGAAATATACAGGGTGTCCCAAAAAAATGTTAACACTGTTTGATCGCTAATAACTCCCTTGCTTTCAAGTCTTTCGCCGAGCTTTAGGTTCCGTTTTGTAGAGCGAGGATAAACTTAGATTTACAGTATCGAGCAAATCATCTAACTTTCCTCGTTACTGTAGAATTACGGTAGGAAATTTGACAAGGATTTTAGGCCATTAAAGCCCATTTTCTGCTTCGAGACAGAGGCAAACAAGCTAAAATCTCTTTTACTATGGTAATGAAAGCCGCTGATTTCGATGAAATTTTCACTTCATTATGATACTTCTTTTCAAAGTTATCCTAGGTAAAGTGTAATAACTGACTTCCCAGCATGTGTCAAAACTGTGATTACACCGTCAAAAAAGCTGAAAACACTCGTAAAAAGTTGTGTAGTAAAATCAGGGTGCGCGAAAACACTATTACACGATTTTTCAGATTTTTTGAATAAAATTTTGTCAGAGGGCTTATTTCATTACGGTTTCACATGCTTGAATTTCCTACCGTAATTCTACGTTAACGAGGAGCGTTGGATTATTCGCTCGATACTGAAAATTTAAGTTCATCTTCGCTCTACAAAACGGTACCTAAAGCTCGGCGAAAGACTTGAAAGCAAGGAAGTTATTGACGATCAAACAGTGTTAACATTTTTTGGGACACTCTGTATAAACATCTGGATGGCTTTTTCATGACAATGAATAATTGAGTATTCAGACAAGCCATTTTTTCAGCTGGCATGTTAAACGAAAATTAGAATCATTGTGTCTTTCATATATTCGATGGGATTAATCGAGAATTCGAATTTTTCGAATGGTTTGCTCGAACGCGAGTATTCGACCTCAACAGTAGGCTCTATCCTTCGATTCGGTTATATCGCTGACATGCGCTGCAGTCGAATATTATGTGCGAAGGTGCCCGTTTAAGATGTCCGTGCGGCTTCTTTTCTTTCGCGTGTTCTAGCAGAGAAGTGAGATAAAGACTGCAGAAAATGAAAGAAACCTCAGAACATGTAAATATCTTCCCAACATGTTACATTACGCCACACGATTTATAAAAATATGGAAGTGACTTGCTTTTGGATTTGAATATTTGAATTAATGGAAAATTTTATCTTGTCTAGTTATATTAATGCTTATCCAGCAAAAAGCAGCGCCGGTGCATATGCAGGCTGCCAAGGAACGACATACACGCAGAACAGACATTTTTTGATCGAAAAGTCAAATTTTGTGTTTTCGGCTCTTTCCCCTACAGCCATAAGAAGATTTGACATAATAAGAAGTAAAGAATATGGCGTATTTTCTTGCTCTAGCAGTGCATTAACACTTCCTCAAAGCGAGTTCATTCGGACATAAACTCGACCCTGCGAGGAATGCTGAAACAGAATGTGAAGAAATAAGGGGGTGGTCGAGTTTTCCACCACTTTGAGTAGTTTTTCTGTTTCTTAGTGTTTCATCCCGCCACCTGCCGAATGTCTCAAGGAATGGTTAATGTTTCACTGATTTGTTCAGCTTGCACAAAATTAATATATCTTCATTTGACCGACGTTTCGGCTATATCGCCTTCTTAGGGGTCTGAAAAAGTCGTGACTATGTAAACTATCCAGTTAGCAACTTCGTCACGATGAAGCAAATTGATCGTGACGAAGTTGCTAACTGGATAGATTACATGGTCACGACTTTTTCAGACCCCGAAGAAGGCGATGTGGCCGAAACGTCGGTCAAATAAAAAAATATGCCAATCTTGTGCAAGCTGAACAAATCAGTGAAAGATATATACACTTATATGATGCCGAGATTAATTGATAGTCGATCATAATTTTGAATGGTTAATGTTTTGTCGGGAGTTCATCTTCTACGCGTCCCTCGACTGGTCGGTCATTTTGACCGCTCTTCCCCACCCTACCGGACGTCGAACCCCTTGATCCAGGAAGCCCCGGAACAGCAGGATCAAGTATGTTTCTTCCCAACAACGACTGTATACCATCGAAGCATTCGACGTGAGACGACTGTCAACCGAAGTCCTAATACAAAGACTGCAAGAAGCCTTGAAGAGAACACGACTCTAATTGGCCCTAACGAGATGGAGAGACGAATTTTAGAAGAAGCCTGGCATTTGCAACTGACAAAGAGTAAGATTACTCACGTTAGAATGGATCAGTTTGTTTGGGTGCCGCATATTGTAATAATATGAAAGGCAAATAAATCATAAATCATAATGTTTTGTCAACTTTATTGCTGGCTCGTTAACTCTTAAAATCGATTTTTTCAAGCTTTGATCTCTTTTTCACGGTTTAGCAATGCTTCCGAACGGCAATTGGGCAAATACATCAATGCAATCACCAATATTTCCTAAATCAAATCAAAGTATACTGCGATCCAGTGGCGTACCGAGGGGGGGGGGCGGGGGGGGGGGCGCGCGCCCCCCCCCCCGAGAATGGGTCGCGAAATTTTTGAAAGTTACTTATATGGGTTATAAAAATGTGTAAGTGACTTGTTTATTTTTGTAAATAATTAAAATAATTTTTAAAAATTTTTAAAAATTCAAATTAGCCTTGTAAAAAATTTTTTTTCGGGGGCGTGGCTGACGCCACGCCCCCTTTTTCCAAATTTTAGGGGTCGGGGACCCGAAAAAACTTTGGGAAGCATCCCCAAAAATTTTTCGGAGTGCGTGGCTAACGCCACGCACCTTCTTTAGAAAAAAATTTTTGTCGCGCCCCCCCCGAGCCGAAATCCTGGGTACGCCACTGCTGCGATCATATCGAAATTCCGTACAATAAACAGCCGCTGAGACGCATCCTTTACCAGTCCACTTTCGTTTCTTCGACGGTGTTGTGTTCTCAATCCATTTGAGAAGAAAACCTAATCTAGTCCTCCCAAAGGTGAAAAAGCTTATTAACATTGATGCTCTCTTATGGACCAAATTTTTTGTTTTGGAGCAAAGCAGTATTTGCGCAAGGACGACTCATGAGATGTTTAAAGTCAAGATCTAAGAAATTTCACAGACCTAACAATCAAAATTCCTTTGAAAATTCCGGTTTCTAAGTCACTCTCATAGTCTAATATATATAAGAAAAGTCGCTATATTTTTGCTGGTACTAGTACGCGCAAGATAAAATAAGGTTTGGGAAAGTAGCTAATTTTCTGGTTTTAATCACATTTCTTATTTCCTGAAAAACAGCGTTTGCAAAACCGAAAGTTTCTAGGTGCTTGCAGAAATAGATTGCTTATGCTCAAGCCAACAATGCTTCGCTTACAGCATTCCAATTCTTACTTTTAGCTACAAGAGAAATACAATATCTTTTTATGAAACACTCGCGCGGACAGTATAGGAGGAAACTTTGAGTGGCAAAATTCATTTTTAAAGGATTCAAGATTATATTTTTTTTAGCTTAATTAACGTAGAAATCATTATACGAATGTTTTAATGATACCTTGGAAGCTTTATCGAATGTTATATTTCTACAATTTTTTTGAATCTAATCTCCCGCTGTAGTATGAGGAACATGCAGTAGCAAAGTTATCATGCAATCATAATCAGTAGGTTTGATTAGTAAGAGTTACCAGATTTTTGTGAACTAATTAACGATTTTCTCAAATTACATTACTTATCATACGATAAATAAAAGGCATGATTGCAGAATGCGAGTACTAATCTTTTTATTTGTTTTCCCATCTTGCTACTGTTCCGTACCCAGGCGGGCACAGGCAGTTGGAGTAAAGGGGAACTTCTTTGTAACGGGGAACCCGCTGCTGGAACATTTGTTATGTTGCAACTGTACGAAAGAAAATTTTGTGAGTTGAACTGCAAGGTTGAGCTCAGTTCTAGTTATAATTTCAGTTTGGGACTCGCCCTGGCCTACTGCCGTAACAGACGAAAATGGGTTATTCCAAGTTTTAGGCACTGATACAGAGATGACCCAAATTGATCCGCAACTCCGCATTTGGACTATGTGCAGCCGTCGGAGGGTACTGTTTGTTTCTTCTTTGCTGATGGAAGTTTACATTACCGAAAGAATGTCGAATCATGAGATTTATAAAATCACACGGTTGATATTCAGGGTTCGCCTTATAGTTCCAAGAAGGTCTGCATAAACATTCCACCAAAGTATATAAACAGAGGAAAATCACACTGGCAATTGAAGCAATACTGGCAAGTCAATATTGAGCTCGATAAGGACGACAACTTATGTCCCCTACTTGCCGATTTTTCTGATGAATAAAGACTGTCGGCCGCAAATTTGATTTGTATGGGACACGGCTAACGGCACATGAACAAGTCTAAGATACACTTGTTAAATGAACTATAAGCCTTTTTTCTTCTTCTCATTCCTTCAAGCTACTAGTGAACCACGCGCCCTTGTGTGCTGTATGCCAAGGAGCGCATCGTATTCTCGGTCATCACCTCAACTGATGCACCTAAGCAGTGAACTCTCTCCCAGCTTTTGATCAAAACCAATGCAAACAAATCACCCCAAATGCTTTTATGGCCAGTCCAAAATTATTCCCCTCTTGAATGCCCTCCTCAGGAGATGCCCCTAGTTCACACCGCTCTTACACTCTTTTCTCCCAATTTTATACTTCCCAGTCCCCTTGATAGTGCCCATATCTTCTCCTGGGTTTCCTAGCCCAAGCATTTGAACTTCCTCCTCCAGAATTTTTACAAATGAGAGCTCTAAGATCCACGGCACCTTATTCTCTCGGCCAGTGCTACTGTAGCCGGTTCTTGCGGAAGTACTAAAAACATTCTTCGGAACTTTTTATGAGTCATATTTCCTCACTCCCCCCCCCCTCCTCTCCCCACTCAGACAATCACAGAAAGCGGTTTCGCTTCGAGCTGAAGGCTGGCAGCAGCCCGCTCGCTGCCAGTTCTTGCACGCTTCTCAGCGGGAAGCGACAGTGAGGCGATGAGGCCACCGCGCTTTTGGTAGGTTTTCGCGGTGGCTTTGTGGCTGCCGGCTCAGAGCCTGTGATTGTCTGAGCAGAATCGGTAGAGGACTATATATCGCCGAAAAGGGAGTGCCTGTGCGGACATCTGCAAGATTACGCCCTCTTGCATGCTTGAGGGGTGCGCATTTGTAGCAGTTGCCGCGAAGCGTCTCCGCTTTTGGTGCGATATATTCATGCCTTCGATAGTCTAGAGACAGTGGCGTCAAAAGTGAAGGTCTGCTCTTTTTGCTGTCTGCTTTTTTTCTTTACAAAAGCAGACTTAGGTCAACACTTACTCTATTCGGGGTGGTCGCTAGCGGTGTGGAGCGGGAACCTCTTACCGATCAGGAAGCCAGACGGCGGGGATTTGTTCTGGAACGCTCTTGCCTCGACGGCCGAGACTGGATATGCCGAATTTCTTCGAAGTTTGGGAGTGGACAGAGTATACAGTCGAGTAGATTCAGCGGTAAATATAGTGTGCTTGCACAGAAGGTGAAATGCGGTAAAACTGGCGCGTGAAGAAATAGTTTCGACTGTGTCGCCGGCCAATTGCGCGCGCAAGATACCCGCGCCACTGACGTGGCTACTTGTTCACGCGCAAATTTTACCGCATTTCACCTTCTGTGCAAGCACACTATATTTACCGCTAAATCTACTCGACTGTACACTCGGCTGCAGTCTGCCACGACACGTTGAGACAATGGTGGTGGGTTGAAGCGTTAGATCGAAGACACTTCGTGAAGACCTGTAAAACTACAATACCAACATATTGCAAAGTGGTGATGCTGTCGTATAAAAGTGCATCGAAAGGCAGATTGCGTCTGCTGTGCTCAGAACGCATGCCAAAGAATGAAATAAGGGGCAACTTTGGTGATGTGAGCGCTCCAAGTCCATTATGCGCAAGTGTGGCAAATTTGTAAACTCGCATATCTATTCCCAAAACTGTTTTCGGCGCCGCGGTGGTACTAAATGATCGTTGAATATCTTGCTAGAGTTATATTTTGCTGGTAACCAGTAATATAAGCACCATGGAAACTTAAAGCTCATGAGCTCCTGTGGTATTCGGAACCGAATTTGCCGGCTTTTACAGATGTGCTTATTGCAATTGGAGGGGCAAACATTAAGCGACAAGCGTGCAAGATCCAAGCAATGTAAAACCTCTTACTTGCAAGTGCGCTTTTTTATGGCGTGAGGTTATGTAAAGGTCATGTACATGTCTGTCCCCCCCCCCCCTCCTCCTCACCCCTTCCACTAGACTGGCGCCAGGGCCTGGCGCTAGTGGGTTCTAGGGTTTTGAAAACGGAATCCCCCCTGAGTTTCGAAGATTTCATGAAGTCTTCCTTGACCCTTTCAACTTGGGAGAGGATGAAGTCATAAAAGAGTCACTGGTTCACTAGTCTGAAGGGAAAAACTTGGAATATGAGAAAATTGAAGATGGAGTATTACGCATGCTTTGTGCATGTATGCCCTTCTGAACCGCTTCGTCCTAGCGCTAATTACTCTGCCCGGGCGGCGCTAATTACTCCGCCTTTCTTATAATCCATTAGAGTTTCTAAATTTTTCTGAGCATTCCAAAGCAAGCGAGGCACACGAATAATGATAGAGACGAAGTTTGAATTATGAAGAAAAAGCTGGAAAAGTTGCATGTTTTTTCACTGGCCTTTCGCTATTTCTTCGCCCTTCCCACCTTTCAAAACATCATGAATCTGCACGTGTAAACTGAAGAATTCACCTAAGCCGCTCACGTACAACATTTTTGAAAATCTTGTTTCATTCTTCACGAGAATGCCTTTGCAGTCCAAGTCAGACGTCTCTACCGACACATAGCCCTCGCCTACCCAAGCGCCGCGGCAGCGCCGACCAATCAGAGGCGCGCAGTAATTAGGTTGCTAGTGCTAGCGGTTCAGAAGGGCCGTCTCCCATGCACAAAAGAGTCATTGTAGCACGATATCTAACAAAGCGAGTGTGAAAAATTGAGGCAAAAAACAAGAGAGAGGCAACGATATGCAAATGCTTCCATGCTCAGGGATGAATTCTTGACCGCGAAATCCGTCCATATAAAACCGGAACTTATGTGAATTTACAAAAATATATGCCCAGACGATCTGAGATCGTCTGGTGGCCGTCTGAAAACGGAGTAATCTTGGAAAAAGTACTCCTTAACATTTTTTCGGAACTTTTTACATAATCATTTCTTGAATAATATTCTATGCCCACAGTCCAAATTTGGTATCATATGCTTGTCTCTACGCTGTGAACAAGCAATTTGTCAGTTTTGGCTTCGCTTTCAAATCGCACGTGCTTCTTGCAAGCCACTATAGAGCACTTCCGCATGGCAATACCTGTCCTTAAAAGTTTTGCTTGACTGAGTGGTCGCTTCTGGCGTTACAGGAAGTGTGTTGAATTGTCTTGCACACTGTATATGCAGTTCTCCTCCACATGCTTCATTAGTAATGCATTACACATTTTCCCGAGGCTCTGCCCAGGACCGCGCAAAAACGATATCCCCTTTGCTTTTCATCCCAAAAACAAAACCCAACCTGCTTCCACATGAAGCTTTAGCACCGAAGAAGTTTCGTGGGACATAAAATTGGACTTGTCCTTACGCCCTGCACCTCCGTTGATTTCCAAAAATCTAAGCCAGTTTGTTGCAAAATATAGTAAGATTGCAGGCTTACCGGAAAATTTGCTGCAAGCTTTCCACTATTTTGTGTACAATCGCTTGTAAACAATTTTAAAAACTGTTATAGCGAACTCAAGCGGCGAAATGCTGGATTGTGTTATTGAACTATGTGCTGCTAGTATTCACTCACAAAATCACTTACTGTGTAACTTTGACGGAACCAAAGTCTGTTTCAGAGCTAAATTAGCTATAATCTAAAAATGGGTGCGTGGCATAGTAGTAAAAGGCGCCGTTCATCAGATCGGACCAAAGTTCGAACCTCCTTCCTCTTGACCAGTCGGGACTTTCGGGTATGGCAAATAGGTATCAGGGTAGTCAGCAAAAGCATTGGCCTGCCAATGGGCTGGCCTGCGCAAGCCATTTAGAAGGCGCGGATGCTCAATTGCCCAAAAGTTGCGTTTGGCGCATGTACTTGGAGGAGTAGAAGAGGCCGAATCCCCCATCCTTTGAACTCAAAACTTCTGCTTGGGTCTTATGTCCTCTGTCTTTTTCTGTCACACTGCACCTCTGCAACTCGGTCTGCACAAACTCAGACTTTTCTGTTTGCAGCAAAAAAGAGGTTGATCTCCACTTGCGCATGCAGTGAGTGCAGCTTTTTTGTCGGAGAAAAAAGCTTCTGTCTGAATCCTTTAGAGTGTTCAGTGATACTACGAAGGTGCAAGCTGCAAGCTCAGCAGGCATGAATTTGATAGTTTGAGAAGACTGAGGATATGGAAACCTTTGAAAAATCATCAATTACCCTAATGTTGCTTCCTTTTCTACTCATGCAACTGCCCGTCTGCTCTGGCATGGTTTTTCATAAGACGAAGGACAAAACAACAACAACCTAAACTCAATCCATTAAATTCCATGCTAGAGTGACAGGCTTTCAAAATTTAAAAAGTTAGAACTGTTCGCTATGAACTTCACTTATTCAGAGAATAAGAAAAAATATAGCTTTCTTTGAATCCGCTTAGTTGATCAGATTCTTCACCGCCAACCTCTCTCTTTTGGACGATCGACTTCATTTTGATGTGTAGCTACCGTGTTTCTTGAGAGACTGGGAATGAAACATGATTTTTGAATTGCAGAACCAAGGTTCTCTGCAGCTAGGCAAATTATGATTGTTCTTGATGATCATAGCCCATCCACTCGCGATCAAGGTATGATTAGCCAAAAATGCGTAAAAACAAATAATAACACTGCGAGATCTATCCGGGCAAAAAACTTAGCGCGCATGAAGCATGTTACGATGTTAATGAATCCAAGGTCGACGGTAAGTTCACCATACATTGTGCTATGTACCTCTTTGCTCTTTGTTCTATAAATTCTCGTTTTTCTGCTATGAAATAGCGATATATTATAGATCTCAATGACAATAATAAGATTTTCTTCCTATCGCACCGAAGAAGCATTTCAAAATTTTCGACAAGCCAAATTCTTCAGATATTCGAATTTACCAGTGATATTACCTTTGCAAAAATTTTTTTCTCCACGCCAAGAACAATTTCAGGAAGCACTAGGAACTTCTTCTTCTATACTTTTGGAAGATCGACTTCATTTTGATGTGTAGCTACCGTGTTTCTTGAGAGACTGGGAATAAAACATGATTTTGAAAGTGTACTCTATCTGTTCAGAAGAGATCTTCAGACTTACATTTGAATTTACACCGACAAGAAAAATGAATTTTCGCGGAACTACTCGTGTATTTATTTGTACTCTCGTGCACACAAAATGTAGTAAAGAGAATCACTTTAGCGTCCTCTACAGATTTTTACAATTATGCAAACATTTCATCGCAATTGCTTGCCTAAGCCGCAGCACCTAATAGTCTGTCACACAGTTGTTTGCTCCACCCAGTTCGGGAGTTTGCGAGGTGTCATGCGACCAATTGGGCTTGCCCTATTTTGCCTCTCAGCTTTTAGCTACTTGGCTGTTGCGAACAGATTGGACGTAAGTTACTTATAAAACAAAAGAAACTTGTCTTTGACTTACTTCCAATAATGAGCGAAAGCCCTATCATGATCTACGGAGATAAAAATTGTCCGATTTTTCAGCTATTCTTTACTTTTTACTCCATGAAAAGGGGAAAATGCGCTACACGAGCAAATTTGAGGAACAGCTCAACTAAAGGTTCTTTAGTGGCTTTGTGTATTTGTTAAAATTTTGAATTTATGATCGCAATGATTATTGACCAGGAATACTCAAAAATCTTGTGGACCGGTAAAAACGCCGAATTGTTTATTCGAATTTGCATCGATGTTTTTTCATAAATTAAGGAATAAAAGCCACCACATTTACCTGAAGGAATGCAGTAGGTCTTAATCTGAAATTTTCTGCTTACTTAGCCGTACATCAAAACTTTTCAGAAGAATTCTGGGGTTTTTAATTGGTGATAATCGATTTCGTTTGTAAAAATCAGTTTCTACCCATTTTTTAGAAGTGTCAATAGATTCGACCAATAAGAGAAATCATCAGATCTATGTATGAGCACTACAATGGGACTTTCTTAGAAAAGTAGGCTGCAAAATTATAGTTAATTCTATGAGAACAGTAAATTTGGAATAATACGTCGCCAACTTTGATAGTCCATTCAAGTGCATTTATCGTTCTCTTTGTCCTTTTCCTTAAATGTAAACAGCGATAAGCCTTACTACTACACACACAGTTGATTCGCATCTAAGGAGTGACTGGAAAACAAGTTACTGTTGATGTACATCTTGTTCAATTGTTTTGAGTTTCAGCTGACGAACAGTTCTGCGCTTCTTCTCAAAGAAATACTCAGAAAGAAAAGTGATTCTCTATCATGGTTAGAGCAGCTGTGTGACGATTTTGGACCTCGACATGTTGGATCGGCTAGTCTGGAAAAGTTAGTTTTATTATTTCTATAGTTCGAGAGTCGAGACAGAATGGACGATATACGCATTAGGTTGTCCTGAAAGAACTGTCGTTCCTATTGTTTGCTAAAAGCAACATCATGTCTACTATGTTTAGCACTCCAAACATTATCTACTTTTTCAAAGAATTCTAATTAACGCTTGGTTTCAGGCCAAGTTAGCCAATATAGAAGAAAGAGAAACTCAGAAACTTCCTGATTATTGAACTTTAAAAGGCTGAGATCAGCCACGGCAGATAGCTTCTAATTATATATGAAAAACATCCAAGAGAGGATTCGCGATACTTGTCCTACAAAATGCGTTAATTGCGATCCACTTCAGAACTTCTTTTGGCTTTTTTTTTTCAAATTATGAGCCACCAAATTCAGCGCGATCGACTGGGTACTGGCATCGCTTCGTTCCGACAATTTCAGTGCTCATTCGGAACCCGTTCCAGGTCTACCCCACTGGGTTAGGGGCGATGACAGCGCATACATCGTTGGCAAGTCCAAGATTCCACTTATAACCAAACACCTAAAGACGCAGTTGTTCTCTAGAACCGCGACTACACAAACTCAATATTTTGGCAATTGATGGATCTCCCCCGGGACAAATGGAGAAGGAAGTTGTTGTAATAGAAAGTCTATTTGAACTCAAGGTCGCCCTAATTCAAATTTTTAAAATGCATGGCAGAAAGAATTTCTTTTCTTTCAGGCAAAGAACATCGCAGGAAAAATTGTTGTCACTGACCAAAAATGGTCCGGGTACGGGAGGACAATGAAGTTTAGAAAGATAGCTGCTGAAGCTGCAAAACTTGGCGCTGCCGCAGTTCTTGTGAAGTCGGTCACGCCCTTTTCACTCTACACACCTCATACGGGAGCTGGTGCAAGAGGTAGCGAAGTATTTAGGATATAGTTCTCTGATATAGCGAAATTATACCCATTTGGTAAAAAAAGTGAACATCAAGGAATGGTCGCAACCTTAGGAAACCTTCTAACCTAATTTTTTATTGCCTCCCACACATGACTGCCATTTTTATTAAGGTTTGCTGCTAAAAGTCTATAGTTTGACCTACTGAACTAGTTGCTCGTGAGTAATTCGGAAGCAAAAAGAGTGCGCTACAAAAGCAATAATTATCATGAGGACAAACAAAGGAATTTCTTGCTGCGCGATAGACCAGAAAAAGTGAAGAACGATGCGTAAAACAATATATGTCATTGCAAAGATCCTCTTCAATATTGTCTTCAATCTGACAACCAAAACATCTTCCTCTTTGCCGGAGACAAAAGCTCAGTATAAGCCATATACAGGGGGTCCAAAAAATGTGCCTACTGTTTGATTATTGATAACTCTCTTGTAATGAAGTATTTTGAGAAATTTTAGGCACCATTTTGTATAGCTGGCTTCAACTTAAATTTACGGTATAGAGCGAATTACCGGTCGCTCTTCATTACTGTAGAATTACGGTAGGATATTCAAGTATATGGTGTCACTGTGGAAAAAGCTGCCGTTTCAAAATTTTCAAAAAACGTGAAAAATTGTGCAATAAGATTTTTGTTGACGCTGAGTTCGATACTCAACTATGTACAAGATCGCGAAGTTTTCTAAACGGTGTAAACCCCACTTTTGAGGAACATTGGAAAAAAGGCCGCTACTGCTTACCCCGCATATTTTTGCAAGAAGCACTAATATAACTTGCGAATTTCGTATTTGAAATCAGCAACTCTAACTAGCCCAGTGTGAAAGCTTTTAGCCTGTTTTGTTTGCTTTCTGAGGCAAAATATGGTCTTTCATGGTTCAAAACCCTCTTTAAAAATTAATTCGTTCCACAGAGTAAAGTTAAGTTGAAGATAGCTCTACGGAACGATACCTACATAGACCTTCTCGAAAGACTTCATTACAAGAGGGTTATAAACAATCAAACAGTAGGCATTTTTTGGGACACCCTGTATTTGAATTTCAGCTTGAACAGCCTTATTTTACATGGTTGAATTGCTATAAGTACATCAGCGGATTCCATACAACAAAGCACTGAAAACCCTGATATTCAAAAATGTTCATATGTGTAATTAGTGCTGGTGGTCACTTTAATAACGCTCTTGACAAAATCATATATCATGTATCTACTACAAAAATCTTTACTTCTTATTTTTGAAAATATAATTCTTATGGACTTCCTTAACGCATCAAAGTCTTTTTGTAGGTTCTCCAATACCCGCCGCATGCATCACAGCTGAAGAATCGGCTATGATATCGCGATGGACTCGCAGAGGAAAGAGGGTTATCATAAGGCTAAATATCACTTCTGCCGAATCACCTGAGCCGGTTCTCAGCAGAAACGTTGTGTTTGAGATTCTAGGTAACAAAATAGCCAAAGACGTAGTCTGCAAAAGAAAGGAATTTAGGGACCACTCTTCCTCACGAAGTTGTGCTTCTCTCTGCTCATATGGACTCTTGGGACATTGGTCAGGGTGCACTTGATGATGGAGGTGGCATGGCTGCTGTAAGAGCAGCAATGTTGGCTATTCAACGTCTTGGACGGATAAATCCAGCATTTAGACCAAAGAGGTATGAAAAATCTTCAGAAAAAGTGGAAAAGAGGAAAAGGTGGTGCTACATCTAGTGTGACCAGTATCAGCGCCGTGCCAGTGCCGTTCCAGCACCGTGCTAGCGCCGTGCACAATGCCGATCGATCATACGGTGCGCTTTGGCTCGACTGATCGATTCAGCTGTGTTCTGGCACGATCCTAGCACAGCGTTGGAACAGCGCCGGCACTCAGACAATTCTGGACGTTGTTTGTATGTTCATGGCCAAGTGTTCAAGCAAAATTGTTGCTTCTTCTAATTTAAAATTTCTACAAGCCCAGCTCTTCGAGACCCAGAAAAATCAAGTAAATCTTGGCAATTCGGTATTTAGGACGATACGAGGAGTTTTTTGGACGGCAGAAGAGCAAGGGACCTTAGGAGCTATTTACTACCATGACGATCACCCCACTGGTAAAGAACGATTTGTATTCGCATCCGAAACTGATCAAGGTGCATTTCGTCCACGAAATTACAACTCTTTATTACGGTATCAAGGAGACGAAAGACGAGTGAGGAGCAAATTCATTTTGTGACCGTCGCCGAAGAAACATATTTGTATTTAATATTTTAGAAGTCATTGCTCCAAGAAATTGTCAACCATTTGAATGCGAATGGAATTCCACTACGAATAGAAGACAGCCGAGATCAGGTGAATATTTCTGAAATGTGCTTGACACTTCGAGTTCCCTTTTGTACCACAGCCAAATTCATCCTATCTCCTTGCTAAAAATCAGTAATACTTTGAACTGTTTTATCTCCTTGGGACCACAACTAATGTTCTTTTCAGGTGGATCTTGAAGTTTTTGCCAATGCAGGAGTTCCTTGTGTAAACTACGAATCCGATAGAGGTAAACTCAAACTTTTTCTGACACCAATCAATCACTGATAGTTGGGTCCCACTCCTCTGCCCATAGTGGATTATAAAGGTTCCAGAATGATCTACATGAGTATGTTTCGAATACTAGGCTTTAATTATGGGTAATCAGTTCCTCGCGGAATTTACATTTGTCTAATATTTGAAAATCACCTTTTTGAGTGGCTGCGGTTTTTCCCACTTTTTCCATACAGGTCTATGAGTTCGAAAAAAATTGAAATCATTGAAAAAAGTTTAAAGAGGCATTAGCGTTTTTGGCTGAGCCCTTTTGCCTTTCCTCTACTTCATGAGGAACCGCAACCATAAAATAACGTTTGTTGTTTTAGGGAAGGATTACTACTTCAATTTCCATCATAGCGAAGCTGATTATGTTTCAATATTCGAAGAAGATGACATTAATTACACTGCCGGAATCTTCGCTGTTTTAGCTCACAATATTGCCAATTTAGAAAACTGGTAACAGATGCATGTCTAATTGCTCGCATAATCTGATACGTCTCTTCTCGTATTATATGTAATGTTTACAGACTTTTTTGAATTTTGATTAAACATTTTCACCTCCTATTGTGGTGGTACTAGATACTTTGAGCATCACTACTTCAAATTTTGTTCCAGGTCTACTTGGAAAAAGAAAATATTGGCTCGTTTACTCCCGATTAAACAATTAAATACTCATGTAACTCAAGTTTTACGTGAGTTACATGAGTTTTGTAAATCTGCGATGGTAACTAAATATCTCTCCCGAATACCATGATCAACTAGAAAACATCCTAATGTTGCGTGAGGGCAATGTTATGGGCTACCAAACATATGTTTGGTATAGAGAGAAGTACGAGTAATGATACTAACAATAAGTAGATGCGTAATTTTTGCACCAAAGCAAGACAAAATCGCAAAGGGTCGTATTTTTTTAAACATTTTAGATAGGTAGCGGGATACCATTACATAGAGCTAACTTTTCTAAAAGAGCCAACGTTGACCAACAGTCTGCTGAAACACTACCAAGTACCGATTTCAAGAATCACGTCGTTTATGCATATACTTTATATAATTTTTACATCGGCGTTATATTAGGTCACTTCGAAAGTTCGTTCGCCTTTTCAAATGGGCGCCACTTCTAATAATAAAGGTTTCTGAGAAATCTTGACAGCATTCGTGCAGCATTTCATCATCTTTCTAATGGTTGTGCAATAAATGCGACAAATTCAAGGAGCTGTCAGAAATTCACCAAAATCTGCGACCCATGCTTTTTGAGATGGTTAAGTTTCACAATTTTTCTAGACTTGTTGCCAATGCTCCGAAGGAGTCCAAGTAATAATTCGATAGAGCAAACCATATAGGATTCAGTACAACTTTTTTCTCTTCTTCATGGCTCGCCATAATTCTTCAAAAGATTTTTTAAATCAAAACCATCATTTTGGTAGGCCAATGTCAGCCACAATCGCATCAAACACCAATAATTGTTCGGCATTTGAAACTTTCAAGATGGTAGTATGATAGCGATTACTAGTAATTAATTAGATTGTTTGTTTTTGCAAAGCAAATGAGGGTTTATAGATTCGAAATATCGAATTTCGAGTTTTTCGGGTAGCCTGAAGCGCTTTCAAATACAAAAGTTATGATGATTTTTTTTGAAGACTAAACGCGGAAACGATAAACACCCTTTAGAAGAAGAAATTAAGCTGCATCAAAAGGACGAGGTTAGTTGACTAGGTATGGAAATTGATTATCAGTTGAAATGCTGCTAGAAAAGTACGACAAGATGTGAAGAGGAGGAAAAACTTGTTTTGCATCCTGTAGGGTTTGCTCTGTAGGTACGTTACTTCGACTTCTTCGGAAGGTTGATATGAAAGTTTAGAAAAATTATGAAACTTGGCCATTTTAGAAAGCATGATTCGCAGATTTTGGTTATTTTCCGAGAGCTCATTGACAGAGGATGAAATGCTGCATAGAATAATAGCAAGACTCTTGGAAATCTTCATTCCATCAAATGATGCGCCCGTCTGAAAAAGCGAACAATCTCTCGGAACGACCTAATGTGTACAGTTGCTGTCCCTTTTTTCGGGTTAGAAAGAGTAAATTCTCTTATGCATATGTCGAAGTAATTCTGAGCTGTCTCCATATTAGAATTCAGTATGGGCTAGAGGTACAACCGAATCTCTCAAGTTTGGCTGTAGAACCTTAAAACGTTGTGTTTCTAGAGCCTATAATATACAACTGTTAGTTGGAAAGAGCTTGGCATTGCTTTGACAAGAAAATGCAGATTGCCGTTTTCTTTTTAGCAGAGGAAAAATGCAGCAACATAGTATAGAGTGCGGAAAAAAATACTGTATCTCAGTTCTCTAAAGAATCTCACAGATAAAAATATGGCTTTTCTCTTCCTTTATATAGGAGACCTTGGAATTAGACTAAGATAAGTTTGATTTGGAACGGCCTTCTTTTCTTCGATCCAAAGCGAGCGATAATAGCAGGATCACGGCGACGCTCGCTGCGTATGAAAGCGATTTTGGACCGTAGCTATTTTACCAAAAACGTAATTTTCAAGTTAATGTAATTTGTAGAGGATAATCTCTTCTTCAAAACTCTATGAAATAGGGTCTTGATATCCGCTATATATACCGACCGACTTATATATTATGCCCAGGTTTAAAGAAAGCGAAACTTTCAAATTATTAGAAGACTTACCGCCGAATATGTTTCGCTTAACACGTGAAAAACTGTCGCTACGACAAAAAGCGATAGCTACTCGCCAATCCTTAATATTCCTCCGACGTTGCCAGAAGACGAATGTGCTGCCTAATTTCATCAAGGATAAGAAATTAGGATATACCTGCGATCTCAGCGAAAATGATCCGAGGATCGTGAAGATTTATCAATCTGTCCTGAAGATTATCATTAAAGAAAAACAGAGATCATTGTATAGTACCTTGTTGAAATGTAGCATAAAAGAACAAGCTTGTAAGCGTCTCATGCCTGGTGAACGTTGGAGGAGGATTGAGGATGGGTCAAAGCTAATCTGTGATTCGATGCGGTCTAGAATCAAATCCAAACTCCGTGCAAAGTACGACCGACTTTTGACTGAACTCTGCAGGAATTGTTCATGTGACAGAAGTAGGAAACCCTGCTACCGCTCCAATGGACTTGCTGGAACAGCTTACCACCGACCATTCCCTTCCCTCAATCGTTTTACAAAGAACCACCACCCGTCCCCGAGATAGATATGAAGTTCCATCTCTTATGCTCTGGTGTTTTCGAAGTTTTGAATAGAGCAAGACATCAACATCAGAATAACCTTACACCCAAACAGTGGCAAGGTTTTAAAGGCAGTGGATTGGCAAAATTTCACAACCCAGGATCTTAACGCTGTAGGTTCCTTATGGTTCAAGTATGAAAACAGTGCAATCCCGGTTGCACAGCATGCCTTCCCTGTCGAGAAAATCGCTCTTGAACTTACACGCGCAAGCCAATCTTACACGCACACGGACGAGTTGGCAATTTCCTTCTCACCATTGGAGGCTGCCCGCCACAATGCTATAATCATTGGGTCCCGCAACGACTCAGCGTCATCAGCCTTGCTCCACTCGTCCAATTCTGAAGGGAAGAGGGTTGAAAAACGCTCGTTTTCGCCGTTTTCGAGCTCTCTAGAGTGGATTTTCGTGATCAGCGTATTGAATGACCTCAGGTAAGCGAAAATTTGACTAGGTTGAGATCTGCCGAGCCACTGCCTTTGAAGAGATACGTGAGCTAATCTTGAACGGCACGGTGCGACTATCTGTAAGCGATAAGGGAGGCAAATTCGTAGTAATGCCTCAAGAACTGGATCGTCGAATAACAACAGCTCATCTAGGGGACACCACAACGTACAGAGTAGTTTCTGCGAAAGACTACCGATCTCAGTGTAGAAAACTGAATGACGCTTGGACGTGATAGCAAAATCTGCCGGACTTGACGACAGATTCATAAAGATGTTGAAACTCAGATGTCCAAGTTGTCCGGTGTTTTACAGCCTGATTAAGACGCACAAGCTTTCTTTGTGGGACATGAGCTCAATGTCAGAGGATACTTACAAAATTAGACCTATTATTAGTTGTGTTGGCGGTCCCACCGATCGAATTTCGTGGTTCTTGAACAAGATAGTGAGCCAGTTGCTTCCCAAAGTTCCAGCACATTTATCCAACTCTAGTGAATTTATCGAAAAAGTCCGAAGCGTTCAGTTTGATCCGAGCACTGTAGTCGCGTCATTCGATGTGACTTCGCTCTACACTAATGTGCAGAATGAACAAGCCTTGCAAGCGCTATCGGAATTGTTGGATAAACATGCAACTACCATCAATACTTTTGGGCTTGGCAAAAGCGGACTATGACCCTGATAAGCGAATGTTTGAAGTGCAACATCTTTAGATGGTCTGGGACTTACTACGTCCAGATACGCGGATTAGCTATGGGTCAGAGGTTGGCGCCGGTTCTCGCCACTTGTTTTATGAGTAAGATCGAAGAACCAGTGCCAGCCCGCATGCGGCTAATGTACTGCCGATATATCGATGACTGTTGTATATTTACATCAACACAGTGGACACATGGACAAGTGTTTCGAAATTTTGAACCAGCAGTCGCAGTACATAAAGCTCACACGAGAAACACCACACGACGGATGGCTGCCTTACCTCAACGCGCAAGTAAGATTATCCAATGGTATTGTTAGCATGAAATGGTACCGCAAAGAAAGCTCGAAGAACATCCTCTTGAATGTTAAATCAGCGCATCCTGCATCTACGAAAAGAGCGGTGATCAAGAATATGTTTGAAACGGCTATGCAGATGTGCTCCGGAGAAAGAGAACGATGCGAGTCGCGAGATCTGGCCTCCAAGATTGCTTGCAGCAACGGTTATCATTCTTTGCCACATGATTAACATCAGGCGGATGGTAACAAAATCCGCGATAATAAGCTCCCACTGTGCCTTCCATTTATTTCCGATAACATCAGTGCGGCATTTCGAAAATGTATTTCACGTGCACAACTGCAAAATGATATTGTTTTAGTCGACATCCCAGGTGACAATATCAAAACGAAGTTAGTTCGAAAAAGACTTACGATCGATACTGTATAACAGATCGATGCGTAGTCTGTGCGCACGGCAAAATAGGTGATTGTGCACAAATGGGAGTAGTTTATCAGTTAGAATGTCTTAGCTACAATGCCATCTATATCGGAGAAACTGGCAGAACACTTAGTACTCGCGTAAAAGAACATCTTGCAGATTAAAGGCGTAAAACATTGTTTTCACCTCTGGGCAAACATAGCCACGATTCGCATGGTGGATACGATTTCGATATCAAATGCCAAATCTTGGCACATGAAAAGGAAACCTCGGCGAGGAAGGCGTTAGAAGCATTCTGGATTTCTGCGAAGAATCCAGCAATGAACAATAAAAATGAGTGTTTGTCAATTACCACAGACTT